GCAATAAATTCCATCAACTCCCTCTTTATATATATATAGATATAGATAGATATACAAATAAATAACATGCCAAAATTTTATAGAATAATTAACGTATTTTAATTTATTATCTAGCCATCAGTAATACCATTTAATGATGTGATCATTATCTCTTAAACGATAAGCAAAATATTAATTTTAAAAAAAAAAATTTTATATACTCAAATAAAAATTAAAAAATACTATCGTCAAATATGAATTATAATATATTTAAGTAAAATTATTGCAGAAGTTAATAAAATTATTTAAGGAAAGAATCTTTTTGATCATATTTGAATAGGAAATGTGTATATGCAAACAATTAATGCATATAGTAAAAAATTTCTAAATAAAATATGCATTAAATCTGAGTTGACTTTTCTTGCTACTATTTTAGTAAATAGGATGACTTTTGATATAAGTATAAATATTAAAAAGATACTTAAATGGCATGTAATTAATGCTGACCAATTTTGACCAAAGATTGACTTACTATTCTTGATAAATGGTAATTTTTATTATATATATATAGATTTTATATTAACTAGTACGAATCACATGCGATGCACATGTAATAGATACTCATTAATATTTATAAATTAAAAGTTCTTAATAAATAACTAGTACGTACCCCGTGCGATGCACGGGACATAGATATTAAATGAGTTATTTCCACAGCCTTGACCGTTTAAGTATAAAAAGTAATAGGGTTATTATCTATTTTCTACATATTTTATCAACGTTAAGTCTAAAAAACAATAGGGTTATAAACTTTTATTTTCACAGCATTGCCCGTTTAAGTCTAAAAAGTAATAGGGTTATTATCTATTTTCTACATATTTTATCAACGTTAAGTCAAAAAAGTAATAGGGTTATAAACTTTTTTCCACATCTGACAGAAATATTAAATGAGTTATTCTCACAGTCTTGTCTGTTTAAGTCTAAAAAATAATAGGGTTTATCTATTTTCTACCTCTTTTAATCAACCTTAAGTCTAAAAAATAATTGGGTTATAAGTTTTTTACCAAATCTTTTAACCTGCATTGCCTTTTTAGCCAGAACATTAAATATGAGCACGTTAGGGCTAGCTTGTAAAATAATTAATATATTATCTCACTAAAACATTTATACTAATAAAAACTTAATTTTAGCATATTAATTTATCTCTTGATATATGAGAAAGTAACAGTTTTACTTATTCTTGTTTACCATTCAATATTTAATTATTATTTTAATTAAATTGTATGATTATATTAGAGTGTATTTATAAATTAAATTGTATGATTTTTAAAGAAAAAATAAGAAAAATAATAAAACTACTATTTATAAGCAGCATTTTATGCTGACCTATTCTTTTTGCTACTAATTTTAATAAATAGGATGACTCTTTATATAAGTATAGATAAGAAGGAATTTTGAATTTGACTTTTTTTTTTTTTAGTATAGATAGACTTTACGTAGAATTTTTGACTTCACCTATTTTATGGGATGTTTTTTACTAAATCGATGTTATTATGGAATAATACAAATAAATAATTATTTTTTTTTATTTTAATAAAGATTTTACGTAATTTTTTTTAACTTAACGCATGTTATAAGATTTTTTTTCTTAAACCGATTTTATGGGATATGAGACAAATAAATTAAATAACTAAATATAATTCTGGATAGAAATAGCAATGCATTAATTACGTTGACTTTTCTACCTACTTAATTTGGTAAATATGATACCTTATTATATAACTATAGATGTTTAGAATATCTTGTGGGTATTAGAAATAATGGGAACATTTATTATGATATTTAAAAAAGTTCATTTAATATATTTATAAATATAGAAAATACGTTTAGAATTTTATCAGATAAATGTTTAAGCTATTTATGATTATAAAATCAATATTCAAATATAAATATACATGTTGAAACATATTTATCATATAAGGAATGATGTATTTATGGAATGCATTG